TTGCCCTTGTGTTTATATTGGGCAAACAGGTCGACGTCTTGAGACTCGTATCGAGGAACAAAAGTTAGCTGTTCGCCGACGGGATCCATTATCACTCGTATTTGCGCACTTCTTGAGTGTGCTCACCGATTCAATTGGGATGGCCCCGAAGTGGTCGACTAACCTGCACCCAGCCTGAAACAACAGCAGGCTGTCCGTGCTCGGTTATGTAGAAGTTCACTGACTCTGACCCCCCCTCCCCCGAACACGTGGAACACAGTTTCCTCATCAGCACAACCTATCGCCGCAGGAGTCACGTCACCATAACACTCCCGCCCAATCCCACACCGTTCTTTGTAACCTCTGCCTCCAAAACCTCTAGTGCGACATTCCCTGCCCTACCTTTTCGTTTAGTCTGACGGCGGACAAGTGATACCTGTTCGAAAATTCACGAGTACAACTCGATTTTCCGAAGATCTTCTTCCTTTTCATAAACGTTGTTCTCTGCTTACGAATACAGGAGTAAGGGTCCACATGAAAAGAGCTTACTGTAAGCTGGCTCCAGAGTAGTCAGCGTCAGGGCTTTCCATGGAATTTGTGCAAGACGGCGAGGTCGAAATAACTTGCACGCTTAGGAGGCTGATCAGATGAGTAAAATAATTTCAGATGAAAATCGGTGGAGTTTTTGGGGAAGTGTGGTAGTCTTCGCAAATAGGAGTTGTAAGAATCATAGGAAATTTGACAACGGTTCTCACACCGGTACGAGTCCAAGTGGATCGGTTAGCAGTAATAAAATAAGTAACGGCGGGACAGGGGAATACGTAGCCCCTGTCTTGCAGCCCGCTTAGACCGAAATTCCAGGCGGGCCTGTGGCTAGAATTCGGGAATGGGTGCCTCTCCCTATAATTTAGTGGACAACTACCTGTAAGACGCGAAGGTACCGAGTACCCTACTCAGCTTCATTACCAATTGTAAAACTGCCATAGATTTTTAACTGTCTCAGCATTTGCTCGTTAAATGGCAGTAATTCAGTCGTATTAAAGGTTTTTAGAGCCAGTCCGATAATATATATTTGAATCAGTTATTATTGCAATTATTATAAGCGAGTAACCATGTATGATTACTTTTTCGGCTAATCAACAGCTGCTCGCTTTTCATCTGCCATCATGTAATTCACGTCTTCTTGAATATATATATTCTGTATCGCTACATTTCATAGTCACTCTCTTACGAATAGGTAGCTCAAAAATGTTCGCCTATCTTCCTCATAATAAGACTTAAATGACTTGAACAAAATCCACCAGCAAAAGACGTATATTGGCTTGCAAGTAGGACCCAAGCTTTCAATGTGATAGATGACGCAACATTGGTATCACTGGGAGTAGACAGCAATACCAAAATTACTACTAGCATTGGTTGTAGAATTAGTAATAGAATCACTACTGTAATAAACGTATGTTGGGTTAATTTATATATCAAGAGTATTGGCCGTAAATGCAGTAGTTACTACAGTGAAGACATACACAATGACATACATTTCGGGAATAATAACAGTTACATAATTTACTACGGTGTACCTATTAACAGTAGATCGAAACAAAAAGGTGACCATATGAGCAGACAGTTCAACAGGGAACAATATTAGTCCAGGCGGTAAACTTCGTAATCTTAATAGCCTTATTAGAGGTAGCGGTTTTAGTAACATCCGAAGCACTTACAGTGGCCACGGCGATGACAGCATTAGCAGTAGTGGTGATAATTGATGTACAAGGCACGAAGTAGTTAACCGCATTTCTTACAGCGTACAGCAAAACCACTTACTGCATTGAATAACCGAATGTGAATTGCCTGAAGCATGTCCTCTGTCCAACATATTTCTCCAAGTATTTCTGGTTAAAACTCCCTCAGCCAAGCAGATGAATAAAACAACCATTGCGCTGGCCCAATACCTGGCTTATTTACAACGACAGCTTCTGTCCTTTCTCAATCAAAAAAGAATCCCTTCGTGTAGGAGTAAAAGAACTGCCAAAAACGCCTTTATTTCCAACGTGACAGAGCAGGAGGACGCGGTCTCAGCCATCCATTTCCAGTGTCAATGCCAGTCGTGACTGTTCCCCACGCAGAAACCAAACGCGTTTTCGACTGATGGTCCATCGAGGAGACACGTTGATG